CATCCACATGGGATAAGATGGAATGGAAAGGCATGAAAACCAGCCGCCTAATGCTGCATTGCTCCAGGCTAAACAAGTCATGCTACTTTGTACAATCTGCCACTACTGATAAAACGTACATGATTTTATCTTTTGCAGATCCAGATGTAATGAATCCCAAACGACCATACCAGACAACACCCTCCAAACAGTGATGACCCGTCACGATTTTTATCCGCACATAAATCCCGTGCTTGTCGCGCAGGCGAAAGACCTCGAAAATAGTTGTTTGCCGAAAAGTGGCCAGGTTTTTCTGCATATATCAAGCCCAACAGCATGCAAACTCTACCTCAGTAAATTCCCACCAGGCAGAATTAGGAAGACAAAAAATATAAAAAAGGAGATTATGTACCCTAGTCAGTGGCCACATCATCTTATCCCCATCGTAGTGCCTGATTGCATGAAGCATACACATTCCAGACTCATCCCTTCAGGGAAAATAAAGCAAATAGACAGCACATGATCACCAACATGTATGTGCATGTAAAGCTTAGGAAGAAGAGACACATATCAGACATAATTTCCATTTACCTTATGAAAACATCACGTGTTATCCTAGGAAACTTGCGCTTCCATCTGTCAGCTAGACAATGCCATTTCACAAAGAACTCGTTAAAGCAACTGAATAATGCCGTGTGAATCTGTGAGATAGCCTCTTGGTGGGTCATATGGCGCTGCTCTTCTCCAGCAACTTGTGCACACAATGGGTCCAGAACATGGATCTCCTTCCTGAACATATCCCACATGTACACAGCCCATCCATGATCTAGAATGACAGGGACGAAAAACTGTAGCAAGCAAAACTTGTGTCATTGTTTCCTCACTATAAATTTCTATGTATCGGTGACAAAGAGAACCAGATCTTACCATCTGGCATGCTGTGATATCATGATTGGCATTTCCAAGTTGAAGTTGGACAGACTTCATGTGTACCACTTTTTCGCCTACAAAAGAAGAGTGTGTCTGTTTAAAAGACAGAAAACAAGCATAAGGTTGCAGCCCTCCCTGAAACTCAATCTGAGCAATCGTACTATGTCCATGTCCATGACATTACTAAACCAGCTGAAAACATAGAAAATGGAAAAAAGTGGCTTGCATAACAAACCTACCCATGTAAATGCAAAAAAAAAAAAAAACATCTACTGACCGAGAAATCATGTTCAAGAACTTCCCTCCAATAGCATGTATACGTTGACAACATATGCACCCACACCCAGCTGATGAAACCTCCTTATTGCAAGCACAGCTACCTCATTGTCGAGCGGGTGCGCCCCTGCAATTTGCCGCTGAATGGACACATCATTTACCCTCAAAAACCTCGGATACATGTGCTCGAACCATATGCTGTATGCATGAGAAAAACAAGAAAATTAATCCGTCAGTTATTGGTATCAAACAAGCATTTCAGGCAGCAAGTACTTGATGTACCAACCGCATGAAAAAAATTAACAAACAACAAGGATGCTACCTGTCCATAACAAAATCATTACCTTCCGATAGCCACGTGTAGAACCTGTGAACTAATGGCAGCGGTGGAGGCTGTGGTAGGCATCCACTTGTCCATGGGTTGCCGGCGAAGCTTGCAGACTTGGCATACGTCCTCTTGGGCAACTTAGCCTCCATGGCACCAAACAAAACAACATTTGGCTCCGGCTCGTCATTGTCATACAAGCAGCGGACCGTGCCAAAAATAACATTCTTACGTTGTGGTTACGGCACTTGTAGAAGCGCTCACCGGCGTTCTGCCCGCGGCGAGCTACGTAGGTGACTACATTCCTACCACAATCCGGGAAGGAATTGGTAGGGCGACCAGATCCGCGCCTTGGTTCGGGTTTGCCGTCTTCACTGTCTTGAGTTCTTTGTTCAAATTTGGGGATTGATTAAGGAAGACTGCTCACCTAGGGTTTGTCTCATCTCGATTTGGGGATCGATTGGGGATAAATGGATCGCTCGTGAGTGGGGAAGGCGAAATTAAATGCAGTTGGTGGACCGGCCCCCAACCCGCCTTCGACCCGTTACGCACTTACGCTGCCGTTTGCACCGGGAGCTCCATTTGCCGCATTTTGCGGCAAATAGTCAGCGCGACGCACACAGGTGCCTCCACTAGGCCGACCCATCAGTAGACCACGCCCGCATCACTTGAAAAAGATGTAAAAAATATGAGACGAGGATTCGAGCTCACGATCTCGGATTCATAGTGGCTGCGGCACACCACCACACCAAACAAAACAACATTTGGCTCCGGCTCGTCATTGTCATACAAGCAGCGGACCGTGCCAAAAATAACATTCTTACGTTGTGGTTGCGGCACTTGTAGAAGCGCTCACCGGCGTTCTGCCCGCGGCGAGCTACGTAGGTGACTACATTCCTACCACAATCCGGGAAGGAATTGGTAGGGCGACCAGATCCGCGCCTTGGTTCGGGTTTGCCGTCTTCACTGTCTTGAGTTCTTTGTTCAAATTTGGGGATTGATTAAGGAAGACTGCTCACCTAGGGTTTGTCTCATCTCGATTTGGGGATCGATTGGGGATAAATGGATCGCTCGTGAGTGGGGAAGGCGAAATTAAATGCAGTTGGTGGACCGGCCCCCAACCCGCCTTCGACCCGTTACGCACTTACGCTGTCATTTGCACCGGGAGCTCCATTTGCCGCATTTTGCGGCAAATAGTCAGCGCGACGCACACAGGTGCCTCCACTAGGCCGACCCATCAGTAGACCACGCCCGCATCACTTGAAAAAGATGTAAAAAATATGAGACGAGGATTCGAGCTCACGATCTCGGATTCATAGTGGCTGCGGCACACCACCACGCCAGACGGGTATAGCTGATTGTACGTAGCGCGAAATCTTATAGGAACTCAAAGCAGCGTTCACATATGAAAACAATTTTTTGGGGAAACACCGCAGTGGGTGCACTCTGCACTGCGCTGCCGCACTGCTCCCGCTGCCGCCGCCTCGTCTCCCCTCCTTTCTCCAGTTTTTCCTCCCTCCATCTTCCCGTCTCCTTCCTGACAGGAGCCAGATGCCATGAATTCGCCCGGGAAGTCGCGCTCCGGCCTTAATCGTCGTCACCGGCGACCCCCGTCCTCACCGCCCGCCTCCGAATCCTTCCCAGCCCATGCCGCGCATGGATCCGTTCGCTGCAAGCTCCAGCCGTCGCGCTGCCGCCGTTCTGCAGATTGCGGGTTGAATAGATGAAAACACAGGGTCCTGTTTGTAAATTCGAAACATTTTTCTGACTGAGTAAAGCGTGTATTGCGGGTTGATTTCTCATAAACGGGAGGACCTTTTTGTAAAATGGCCGATGACGGACGACAGAAACCTAATTTGCTTTATTATTAGGTAAAGATGGGCAATTTTTTTGAAATAGAACATTTTTCGAAAATGATGACATTTTCTTAAAACGGGAACATTTTTTGAAATTCGAAAATCAATCCTGGAAATGCGAATATGAAACTCCCGAACAAAATTGGAAAACACGAACATTTATTAAAATTTGTGAACAATTTTCGAAACTGGAAATTATTTTTGGAAACTACTGAAAAAATGAAAACATGAACTTTTTTAAAAATATTTGAACATTTTTTCTAAATGAGAACATTTTTAAAACATGAACATATTTTAAATTGTGAACAAAATTTTGAGAATGCGATCATTTTCTGAAATTGTGAACAAAATTTTGAACATGAGAACATTTTTTGAAAAATCTGAACAAAATTTGAAAAAGAGAACACCTTTTGAAATTCCAAACAATATTTGAAATTTTTGAACAAAATAAAGAGGAAAACGAAAAAAGAATAAAAAGAAACAGGATAAACAAAAAAATGTTTTTTTTTGAAAAATAGGAACAAATGTGAAATTCCATTTTTTTTTGAAAATTTGAACAAATTTGAAAACACGAACATTTTTTGAGAATCACGAACAAATTTTGAAACAGCAAACAAATTTTCAAAATACGATTTTTTTTGTACATTTTTTGAGAAGAACAACATGTCTTTTGAAAACCTGAACAAATAAATTTGAACATTTTTTAAAGCCAAACAAAGTATTGAATATGTTGAACTTTTTCTGAAATTGCGATTTTTCTAAAGCAAAAATAAAAGAAAGAAAGAAAAAGAATAACGAAATGAAAAACGCGAAAAAAAGAAACAGATAATAGCCAATCTGTAGCATGTATAGGACACTAGCATTGTGAAGCTCCGGTGGCTAGCAACGCAGGTCGAGGAGTGGGAGGTTTTGAGGTTCGATTCCTCGCTCTGTCAGGGTTTTCCATTTGCACCCGCTGCACGCACGTTTGTGCGCCATCCCCTGTGTCTCCAACGTCCGTCTGCACGCACCGCGCCAAGGTCCCCGCTTCCGTCCACATACGCATTAATTTATCCAGCGTATGCACCTTGGAATACCTCGTACATTGCATACCCCATAACCAATTGACGGATCGCGATACCGTGAGCAAGCGAGCCCGTCCGCGCCATGTAATTTTCGCAATAAGATAGCATTATAATGCTTTCTTTTTCATGAAGAATTATGGTGGCCTCAGGTACCTTTCTTGTCATAGAATATGACCTGACCACCACTTGATTGGAATTTCCCTGTACACACTAACATATGTTTATACTTTCAGATCTGTGGCATGCAGCAGGTTGTTGTAAGAAATGGCTAGCAAACCATCTCTGCGTCTGAGAATCAGGCTAATTAGCATGTCTTGATTCTTAATGATTTAAATTTGATTCACCTAATCTGAAGCTCGCAGCACTTTTTTTTTAGAACGAAGACGCTAGGGACGTCCAGCTTTAAATTAATAAAGCCCACAACAGTCAACGTAACCACCAAGTCAACCTTACAGAACGCAAGGATGACAAGGAGAAGGCTCCCTTTCTACACCTATACATGACTAGAGAAAGGTGGAAGGCAAGAAAAAGAAGAAGAGGAAACCATTCACCAAGAAGAAGGTGCTGCATCTAACTAAGCTTCCAGGCTTTGCCTCCTTTCATGCTGAACTTCTTGAGCCTCCCGAAGAGCATCACGAGAATGAGGATGAGCTTGCCGGAATCGCTCCACCTCCCGACGAAGCCGGTCCACCTGTCGGTGCAGAGCTGGTCCGGGCTGATCTGCCTACTGCAACTGTAGCCCATGGAGAATCCCACATTTCCATAAGCGCTGACAACTTCGACGACGATGCTGAGCAGGTTGAAGTTGAGGGGGTCTTCCTTGAGCTTCTCCCTCTCCGTGACGCAGATGGCAATGACGAAGATGGTGAGGTAGGAGAGCTGTGATAAGATTGTGCTCTTGATCAACTTGATCCCCCGTGCCTCCTCGTGCTTGGGGTGATCCTTTGTACTGGAGTTCCCCTCAAATGGAAACCATGTGGTGTATGGAGGCAGATACCTGGAAGGAAGCAAGAGGAAGCAGAGACGTGAGGAAACTGAGACGGGTAAATATTGATTCTCAGGATTTCGACGTGCAAGAACATTCTGGTGACCGGCAATATTCTCAGGAAATCAACGGTGTGGCACATATGCGGGTTCTCATTCTCCCGCGGCCTACATATGGTCTCAGCTTCTCATGGACCGCTGCACATATGCATGGAATCCGAATCCAGAGAACAGTACTCCGATCCTGAGCTTGTGGGCGATCGATGCTTGTGGTTAGCAAATGTCGTAGAGTATGGACTATGCATGGCAAGGAACACGCAGTTTCGTGGCTCCGCGTGAACCAATGGGTGGCTGGTCCAGGATGTGTTTTTTTTGGACAGAACGTCTAGGATTTTGGTTTTGGGTGCTCAATGTGGCGATTTCCTCGTGCCTTTTTCTGGTCAAAGTACGGTCAGCTAGAGCGTGCCTGGCGATTCACGAACTTGAGTACTCCCTCCGTTTCTTTTTAGTCCGCATATAAGGTTTAGTCAAAGTCAAACTTTGTAGAGTTTGACTAACTTTATATTAAAAAATGTAAACATTCACAATATGAAATCAATATTATCAAATGCACCATGAAACATATTTTCATACTGTATAGTTTTAGTATTGTAGATGTTTATATTTATTTATATAAATTTGGTCAAACTTTGTGTAGTTTGACTTTGACCAAATCTTATATGCGGAGTAAAAAGAAACGGAGGGAGTACTTTCAACATGTCCGTTCTACAGAGGGAAGATTCCTCAACAGCTCCCTTCAATTCAATCATTGAACGGCATTTCCTAGTTTCATTACTATACTACTTCTTACCTTGGTCTCTTTCGTATTTTATGTTAAATTTTAATCATAAAATTAACTACAAAATGTTAATGCATGTCATGAAAAATTATATCGTTATATTTATATTTGAACAAAGCCTCCGATGATATAACTTTTGCTACGTATAATTTATATTTTAGTTAAAATTATAGTCAAGATATGACCTAAATACAATGGGGGACTAATAAACTAGGACAGAGGTAGCAGTTTATTAAGGGCTGGCATTGGGGACACCTGGAGCACTTAACAAATACTACTCCGTAGTCAACGTGAATTGTACTTGGTACGGAGTATTCAGTGATGATCAGGGTTGTATAATATACGGCACTTGATAAGGAACATGCATGACAAATTATGCAGATGTACTTGTCTCATATCATGATCGATACAGAAGTCAGAAGTCGATCAAGTTATCTGCTCCTTTACCCCAATAAAGGATTATTATAAATATGGCCTAGTTATTGTACATCTAAGTGACTCAATAAAACTACAAAAAAAAGTCCGCATGAATCTTCGTGCAAATCAATGGTATATGACTTAAATGTGCAATACTTAAGACACATCTAGATGTGCTTTAGCAAAATTGACGCTCCCTATAGTTAACAATTTCTAATTTCTTAAGGATTGCACATGGGCACATCCTTCAATTTTTTTTCTATTCTCGCATGAAAAAACATCCTTGGTAAATCCAATGAAATTAACTTCATGTGGCACATGTTGGTATGTTTTTCTATGCACTTGGTCAAACTTGTGAAGATTGACTTAGAAAAAATCTAGATCTTCATTAATTTGTAACAGACGTAGGGAAACATCGTAATCTAAAGTTTGATTACGGACATATTCAAAATTCCACTTGTTGAGTGAGCAGTGTAAGCTTAGCCTATTGAAATTGTTAAGAATCTACTATTTACCAAAAAAAATTGTTAAGAATGTCTGCTAGGCTTAATGTTGAACGCAGATGGCAATGACAATTAAAGATGGTCAAGTAGGCTGGCTATGAGATGAGCATGATTTGGTGTTGATCAAAAGATTTGAAATGTGAAAGATCAGAGAAACTTTTATAGGATAAGATTTTCAAAGAAAAAATTTCTATGGAGCCCTCCGGTTTATAGGAATGGATTCCTATTCCTATGTAGGATAGGGTCTAATTCTTCACATTTTAAAAGAAAAAACATTAGCCTTGATTCAATGAATTTTTTTCTATCTTATGCATCAAATTGCGTCTCTTTTTTTATAGGATTTGAGATGCATATCATCTCACTTTCTATGAAGTTTATATCCCTACAATATTCTTATCCTATGAATCAAAGGAGGCCTTAGTTGAGAAGCATGGGAAAATAAAATCTTAAACCACCTTCTAGAATCTTGATGGCGTTCAGCATAGGGAACTCAGTGTTATGGGAAGAAAACAAAACGAAGCATCGATCGACAGTTAATAACAAGGAGAAAGAGAGACAGGTCGAGGAGGACTCACATCATGAGCACGAAGAGGACGAGGATGGCCGGCGCGACGGTGGAGATGTCCAGGGTCGACTCGCCGGTGTGCCGGGAGTTCACCGCCAGGAACACCGCGTTGGACACCTTCTCCCACGGGCTCATCCCCCGCAGCGCGCCGCTCCACTCCATGCCGCACAGCATCGCCACCTGCACGGTGAGGAAGCCCACCACCGTCGCCGCCAGCATCGCGCACCGCCGCGCCGGGAGCAGGTGGTAGTACCCCGTCAGCTCCCCGCCCTGTTTCACCGTCTCCCTGAGCTCCACGCACCTGGTCGCCGCGGCGGCGGCGCGCACGCACGCGGCCAGCAGCGGCGGGAACAGCGTGTTCCCGACCAGCGCCTGCGGCACGAGCAGCAGCTGCAGCCCGGTGTCCCGCTTGAAGACGATCATGTTCTCGTTCGTCGGCATGTACCCGCAGCTCGAGAACGTGGACACCGTCGTGAACACGGAGAAGGTCCAGACGTTCAGAGCCTTGCTCCGCAGCGTCCGCCTCGCCGCCGGCGACGCGTGCAGGATGTACGCCGCGATGGCGATGGCGCCGAGGGCGTGCACCGCTAGGAGGATGGCGAGGACGACGAAGAACAGCGACAGCACTGCGTCGCGCCGAAGCCTCGTGTCAGGTACGTGCTCCAACGACTTGCTCGTCTCATCATCGGCGGTAGTCGACGTTGGGTTATCGATGCCAGCGGCGGCGGCCGGCGGCATCTCAAGCTCGGCGACGTGGTGGATCTCGACGCGCCTGGACGACTTGTGTACAGCTTGCTTCCTCAGCTTGAACCACTTGGACGCGAGGCATATGTGAGATAAAAACACCTCACCGCCGACGAGCATGAGTACTGTCAAGACGAGGAGCTGCCCGTTGGAGAAAACCTCCATCTCAACGGTGGACATGCTGGACACCGTCGCGGCCGAGACGGCGGTGAAGAACAGGTCGATGCCGCGGGGCCGCCTCGTCCCGTCGCCGCGGAACCTGAGCTGCGCGAGGAGGAGGTACCCGAGCCAGGAGACGGCTAGGAAGTAGGCGACCTGGACGAGCAGCGAGCCGACACGCGGCCAGAACCGCCCGGCGAGCGCGCGCCGCCACCGCGCCACGCGCTCCTTGACGACGTGGTGCTGCGCGTATGAACTGGAGGGCGAGGACATTGCCTTGTCGACCGCGGCCGTCGAGCTGCGCGGCGTGTGGTGCAACAGCTCGCCGACCTTATGATGAGCTCCGGCCATGTTCGATCGTTGTACTACTATGTATGTATGTGTTGTGTGGACGTGTTAGGACTTGGGAGATGTGTGCATGCATGCACAGGGCTGCGTACTGTCTGTGAGAGCTGAGGCGTAGTACGACGCCTTATAAATATATAGCCACGAACGCGTCATGGGTATTTTTTTTTAATGATGATGCTTTGGTGGTCAAGTGCATGCGACATGTGGCCAAATTATTTACCCCAAAGCTACATCGTAGATGCAAGGAGCCGTGCGAACCAACCTGTGGTTGGATGGTTAGAGGGACAGTGGTACCATCACCCATCAGAATTTAAATCTTGATGCTCGTATTATTTTTAGATTTATTTCAGGATTTTCGGCGATGCGCCTTCAGTGGTAGAAGACGTTCTCGTACGCCTACGATGACTTCGTAAATCTCAAGATGACATGCCAGTTCAGTCTTTTAAAAATGAGTTTTTGCACGTATGTATGAGCGCTTGCGTCTGTACTGTGTTAGACAAATGCAAGGAATAATGAGAGACAGCTACCTAAAAGTACCAAAAATACTGCTAAAAATAGCATTCCTGCCGAAAATATTAATACAGTACTGCACCAGGCCCACACGCATGTAGGTGGAGTAACATGGTAGTGGTACTACTCGCTCTGGGTCGGTGGCAATGCTAGTTTAAGAATGGTTGACCCAGATCTTCATACTCTGACCATCATGTTCATATTTTTTATTGCGAGTAATGTTCATATTAATTTGGACTGATAATTTACGTGTGATATTTATTCTGACAGAACTTTTGATTTCATTTGGCACCTGAACTCACAACATGAAGTTTTTTCGAACTGAGTTCTTGGTGGAAGAAGTATCTGCATGTTCGTATCGTGCGAGAAGGCAAGTGATGAATGACTAATGTAGCCGTACTAACTATCTTCTTCTACTTCAAAATATATAGGAGTATCTCATAAAGGTTTGCAGATGTTTACATGGTATCACAAATATGTGTGAATTTTTTTTCAACGTCTTTTTGGGAAAAATATGAGGCCACCACATCTTTTTTTTAAACAGTTCCTTCTCATTCTCAGGCTCCATGCAGGCCTTTATTTCCAAACACTAAAAAAAAATCAACTTTTTAAGTTTTTAAAAAAACTAAAAAAATACACAAGTACTTATAGATGTGTACTAGATGTGTATGAAATTTCATCATGAGAAAACTGTTTTTTTGTGGCCTGTACAAAAAAATAATCAAAAACATGTGAATTTATAGTGAATAGTACATGTGCTAGAAAAAATGTGATTTGTCATTTTTGTGTAGCTCGCATAAAAAAGTATTTCATCATGAAACTTCGTAAACAAGTAGTATACATCCGTATATATATGTGTATTTGTTTCAAGAAAAATTGAAACTTAAAAATTGAAATTTTGAAGTTTTCAAATAAAGGGCTACATGGAGCTTGAGCTCAGTTAGGCATTTCCATTAGATCACTTATAAGCATAGGAACAAATAGAATCCAAGTCGCTCATCCCCCGCATCGCCCACCCTCGCGGTGAAGAGAGAACCCTAGATCCCGCTGCCGCCTCCTCCACCTTCTTCCTCTACCACCTCATTGCCATCACGGCCGGTGAAGCCCGCGCCAGCTCCCATGAAGGTGGCGGCGGGGCAACTCGGCTGGCTCCGTCCCCTCCCATGATGCCCCCTACGCCTCGCGCTGCGGCGATGGCACCACGACGGCGACCTGGATATTGACGGTGGCTCCCCAGCAGCAGTTGCACCCCTCCCACACGTTGTTGTTGGCTCGGTGCTAGGTTGCGCCCCTACCAGGTGGTAGGGTTGACCCAGTGATGGCTCCCTGGCAGCGGGCCTTGACGGCGGGCGATGTTGTGGGCATGAGGCCTCGGGAGCCCGAACATGTAGTATCTGGGCCCCTCACACTATTGCAGGACTGCCCATTAGTGGCGGGCGATACGTCTATGAGGTATTTATAACTTTTGATTGTTTCATACGGTATATTATCGTTCTTACTCCCTCCATTCCTAAATATAAGTCTATGTAGAGATTCCACTATAGACTACATATGGAGCAAAATGAGTGACTCTACACTCTAAAATGCATATATATACATCCGTATGTGGTTTGTAGTGAAATCTCTACAAAGACTTGTATTTAGGAACGGAGGGAGTACATACTTTGGCCATAATTTTACATTATTTTATATTATTCTTCTGGACTAACATATTAATCCAGTGGCCAGTGCCAATTGTTTTTTTTTCTGTTTGTTTTTGGTTTTACAGAAAATCGGTACCTACCAAGGTCCAAACGCGATGAAACTTTTTGACGATTTTTCTAGAACATAAGAGACCCTAGAAGCTTTGGGAGGTGAACAGAAGATGGACGAGGGCCCCACAAGCCCAGGGGCACGACCTACCCCTCTGGCCGCGTCGGGCAATCTTGTGGGCCCCTACGGCTTCGTTTAACCTAATTCCTGGTTTATAAATACACATATATTCCAGAACGCTCAGAGCGAGACCCAAAACAATTTTATCACCATCGCAAGCCTCTGTTCCAAAGCGATCCTATCTGGAGGCCTGTTTCGGAGTTCTGTCAGAGAGGGAAACCATTGGAGTGGCCAATGCCGCGGAGCAGTACGAGCTGAATCGGAAGCTCAAAAGCTCCGATGAGGAGCTCGACCTCGTCAACAAGTTGTTTGACGAGGCGCAAGGTTAGTCCGGTCGAGACTTAGTAATTCGGAATTTCCTTGTCGAGCAAGGTATTCGGAATTATCCCTAAGCAAGAAAATGCTTACTGATGATTGGAGCTGCTGCCGTGGAGGTCGAGGGCTCAAGGCTGAGCTGAGGAAGGCCAAGGAGGAAGCGGCAAAGCAAAAGGCGGTGACCGAGCGAACGGCTACCAAACTTAAGTCGATAAGAACCGCCAGCAAGAAGCATGAGGCTAGAGTTGCCGAAGTGCAACAAGAGCTCAAGGATGCAACCACAAAATGTGAGGACCTTGAGCAGAAGAATAAGGATCATGTAACGGAGCTTTCAAAGGTGCAGCATGAGATCCGAGAAGCGAGGACGGAGACGTGGGGCGCCTGAGAGGAGCTCCGACAAGTCAAGAAAATTGCAAATGGTAAGCCATACTTACTTCAGAGTGTCTTTGCACTAGAAAAAAAGACACATCCATGACATTTTGGACGAACGAATTTTTTTCCTGTCATGCTTATGACAATTCTATGACGATAATTGTGACAAAAGCACGTATCATCATAGATGTGGTGGGCTCCTACTTCTATGACAAAAAATCATGACAGAAAATGGGCTTTTCGTCCTGGACGGGCCGGGGACGCACATGCATGACATTCTTTGGGCCGTCCATGACGGAAAAAATCATGGTAGAAGCGAGGGCGAGGAAATTTCAGGGAGTTCCCGGTTACGGTGGGTGGTCGGGGCCGAGCGATGCACAGAGGGATTGCGCGTTTCTCTCGTACACATATGCGCGTGTGTGCGAGGCGTTGGACTCTAACTGAACCCGAGCAAGGCGTTCGCTTACTGAACCCGAGCGATTGTACAAGCTATGTTACTGAATCCGAGCGATCGATCCCTGGATATTAACTGAACCCGAGCGATTCCTTTGGTACTTCTGCTAACTAAAGCCGATCGAACCTGCTACTGCCTCTTGATGAACAGTGACCGTTGTTGGGGTTGGATGAACATTTCCCGGTAGGGGTTGGATGAACAAGACCCCGTGGTAGTAGAGAGGCTGTTGCCGCTGGATGAACAGGACACTAATCAAGGAGGCCGCCACACACACCTGACCCGGTTGGGGGTGGATGAACATGACCCCGTGGAGGCTCCATGAATAGTAGCCGATGAAGGCTGGATGAATAGTAGCCCGCAGATGAACAGTAGCTGGTGGAGGCTGGAGGAAGTCGACGATGGATGAACAGTAGCCCGTGGAGGCTGGAGGAAGTCGACGGTGGATGAACAGTAGCCCATGGAGGCCGGAGCGAGGCAGTAGACGGTGGATGAACATTTTCCCCGTGGAGTCCTGTTTTGCGGTACGTGATGCGTCTCCAACGTGTCTATAATTTATGAAGTATTCATGCTATTATATTATCTGTTTTGGATGTTTAATGGGCTTTATTATACACTCTTATATTATTTTTGGGACTAACCTATTAACCGGAGGCCCAGTCCAAGTTGTTGTTTTTTTGCCTATTTCAATGTTTCATAGAAAAGGAATATCAAACGGAGTCCAAACGGAATGAAACCTTTGGGAGAATCGTTTTTGGAACAAACGGAATCCACGAGACTTGGAGTGGACGCCAGGGAAGCAACAAGGTGGCCACGAGGGTTCAGGGCGTGCCCCCACCATCGTGGGCCCCTCGTGGCTCCCCTGACCGACTTCTTTCGCCTATATATACTCATATACCTCGAAAACATCGAGAAGCACAATAGATCGGGAGTTCCGCTGCCGCAAGCCTCTATAGCCACCAAAAACCAATCGGGACCCTGTTCCGGCACCCTACCGGAGGGGGGATCCATCACCGGTGGCCATCTTCATCGTCCCGACGCTCTCCATGATGAGGAGGGAGTAGTTCACCCTCGGGGCTGAGGGTATGTACCAGCAGCTATATGTTTGATCTCTCTCTCTCTCTCGTGTTCTTGATATGGCACGATCTTGATGTATCACGAGCTTTGCTATTATAGTTGGATCTTATCATGTTTCTCCCCCTCTACTCTCTTGTAATGGATTGAGTTTTCCCTTTGAAGTTATCTTATCGGATTGAGTCTTTAAGGATTTGAGAACACTTGATGTATGTCTTGCATGTGCTTATCGGTGGTGACAATGGGATATTCACGTGATCTACTTGACGTACGTTTTGGTGATTAACTTGCGGGTTCACTTTATGAACTTATGCATAGGGGTTGGCACACGTTTTCGTCTTGACTCTCCGGTAGAAACTTTGGGGCACTCTTTGAAGTACTTTGTGTTGTTTGAATAGATGAATTTGAG